GGATTTGGAACTAGATGATCTTTAGGTCCTTTCCAACCCTAACTATTCTGTGATTATATGTAGTTATTATATATATAAAATTGCATATTATATATATGCAATTTTACCTGCCCAAAATGCTGTAATTACTTTGCTTCTTTGTCCTCAATGGCTAAGAGAAATATGTTTGATAAATGTAAAGATTGTCTTTAAGTCAGGCTTTTCTGTCAAATTGAGGCAACAAAATGCAGTTTTAATATGAATGCTGCTATTATGGGTAGTGCTATATCAAATGTTGAGCAATAATTCCTGGGGTTTAGGACCTTTCAAGCTTCTTCAAAAGTGGGGGAGGGAGGAGGGAATTCCAAATTTTCTTCCCAGAAAACATTTTTTTCTTTGAATTCTGATTTATGAACTTGCGTGTGCAATGCAGTATTTTTAGTAACTTAAAGTTATGTGGAAGTTCTCTAGTAAACTACTTTAAATCTTGTATTGCACTTTGATCAAATAGTGTAATTACATGCTGGGGATGTAGAGTGTTGGTGTAATCAATGTTAGAATTTTCATTTGTCCCCTTCTATGTGTATTCTGTAGATATTTAACCTCAGACAATCCTTTTCATGGAATCCATACTATTCAAGTGGCTGTTCAGTAATTCTTTTCATACTTGTATTCTATCTTGCCTAGTTTCAGACATTATTTCATGCATCCTTGCACAAATACAAGTTATCTGTCACTCTAAGTGCTTCTCAGAGCTCCCTGAATTCACTTTCATAGTAAAACTGGGCAAGTTTGTGTGGTGGTACTCTTGCTTACAGCTGACGGCCAAGGCATAGAGAGCCCAGAATTAGCAAGTGTCACTGAGTTGTGTAGAAAGACAGTGGGTCACAGAGGTCTGAAAATATGATAAATATGAAAATGGACAGTCTGGTAGAAGGGGAGGAATCTGCCTTGAAAAAGAGGCTCCTGGTTGAACTTGTTTGAAGAAGCATAGCCCATCTGTGGGGAAAACCACTCTTAACAGAATCCATACACAACGAAATTCAGCTGGATTTTTTTAAAAACCATGGGAGGCCGTATTTTTTCTTACATAACTGATGTTTTATATGCGTTCTGTAAAATAACATGTTTTCTTCCCCTTAAGAAATGGTCTTGCTAATACACTTTAAAAAATACATTTTGATTGAATTTGTAATTCAGAAAAGTTATAACTTGTATTTTATTTTCTTAGTCTCTCTACTCTTGTTTTTGCAACTCTTGCACCCTGGACATGCAGGTTATGATACCATGGTCAGTTTAGGCTGATCTAACCCCATGTTGTCATTGAAAGGAGCTGTTACTTCAGTATCCTGTTTGCATCCCTCATGCCAGCCTAAGTACTCCCATGGCTATACAGAGTAGGATCAGGAAACTGATGTAATTCAGAACTGAGTAAAAAAATAAATAGAATGGTTTCCTTGTTAGACTTAATGTGTGGCAGCAGAAGCAGCTAAATCAGCACAGTAGAAGGAACAGAAGTATGAGGCAGATTGCTCTTCTTAGTATAAGCCTGGGGACTTAGAAACTGGCTTAAGACAATGGAAAGAATTCCATTGTTCCGTTCTGTTGTCATAACTGGGAGGGAGGAAGGGTGAGTACCAGATTGTTCTGTGCATTTTGTTTCCCAATTTTAGTGCCAGTCAATCTTTAATCATTAGTACTGTTATCATACCAAATCTAGCTCTCCTGAGAATTGTTTCAAAGGAAAGGAATATCTAAGGATTAAGAAAGTTGTATTATGTAGAGAGCATTTCTTAAGCATTTGTCTTTGTGTATGGAGCCTGAGTTAATACAGCGACCATGAGGGAGACCCATCTGTTTACATTATCTTTTTTTATCAAACCTGAGGTTTACTGCTTTTTAGAGAAGTCAGTGTTGGGAAATAGTATGTTAATTCTCAGGGCTCATAGTCATGCAGTACATCAAGTAATAGTTTTGACACCCCCTGTTTCTCAATTCATGGCTGCAGGAAGCAAATTGATTAATGTAATTTATACAGCAAATCTGCAGTGATCTTATTTTTGGTATTGTTTTGAGGGCCTTAATGACTAAGTATTCCTAAGTCTAAATTGATTTTCCATGTTTGTAAAGCTCAAGCTCAACTTCTGAATGGAAAACTTATGTTAAGTTTTAACCATGTGATGGTTACACTCGGGGGGGAATCCCTAAAATTGGTCAGGTGTGTATACAAGTAATTACAGAAAGTGATGCCAAAACAAGTCTGCCAATATTGACAAAACTGTCAAAAGCCCAATTGCAGAGGGCATTTTTGTGTGGTAACCTTTATTTTCAATCTTTTGGACCCTGTGAAGATTGTTAAACTGTTGTATAGAAAAGCTTTTTGAGGGCTTTTTTTGTAGTGTGGATTTCGGGGTTTTGTTTATTTTTATAATGTTATTTCTGTAGTATATTGATTCTCTAGATCACTCAGGTCATTAACCTGTCTGGTTGAAAAGTTTGAGAGCTAGGCAATAACTAAGAAATATGGAAACTTGATTCTGGTTGGCCGAGTACTCCGGAATTATTTCCAGAAGAAGGAAACAGTTTAGCTGTGAGCACTTACGAGGTAGGTCCTTCTCTCTGTGTATCATAGTCACAGCTATATTAGTTTCTTCTCCACTGTCAGCAGACTGAGGATGAAAGAAGGCCCAGCAGCTGCAGGTGGCTACCAAGATTTGTCAAGTAGTTACAAAAGGGTGCTGGCCAATGAAAGAAGACTGATAGAATGGGAGAAGACCATTGCTTCTAGAACACTCGAGTTTTGGAAAGAGTTGAGAACCACATTCAAGTCACAGAGCAGAAGATCTCTCATAACCTTCCTTAGATGCTAATTATCACAGTATTTAGTTCTGGCTTTGTTTTTGTAAAAAGAGTCTGTGCATGCAGTAACTTCCAGTTTTTTGAAGTATGGTGTTGTGCATATGTGTGCATGTAATATATTACTTTTTTTGAAAAGCTACTTTTATAACTTTTTTATATGTACTTTTGTAATTATGTGTAAGGGCACTGTTTACTCTTTGTTGCCTCATCTTTGATGAGTGAAAATTGTGCTAATTTGGGCGTGTGAAATTGTCTGGTCACTTGCTGCCTTACTAGAGCAAGATACTATAGAAGTGCAAATTAGTTATAATTATAGCCTTCTGCAGAAGGCTTTTAACTTTCAATTGAATTAGAGTCAGTTTTATAATATTTTTTTTAGAATCTAAGTAATATAATTGCAGTTGAGCATAGTTGTTGGGTTTGCTCAACTTGCTCCATCCCTTTCCACTGGGAGCTGGTTGTTTAAAATAGCAGACTCTGGATCTTGGTCTCTCTAGCTTTGATCTTCAAATATGTCTGCAATCATTACAAAATCTGTATTTATTTTTTTTTCCTTCTCTAAAACCATGCACTGTCTGGTGCATGAATCTTTCTCACCAAGTGGCAATGGTTAGTTGATAGTGCTTTCATGGTAGACTTTTAATGGAAGTACTCATAACTATCTTGTTCTAAGATTTTAAATTTTGATTAAATTATTAGTTAGCTAATGCAGGGTAGAAGAACACATTTTAATTTGGTTTACCATTGAGCACAAAGGCCAGAGGGGCTAAAATTGGAGCTGGTGTGTGGAGTTTTATGCGATGTTATCACTTAGTCTTGAGAAAGGAGCAATGAAAGAATGCTATCCTCCTGGTTAGACCGTTTCAGGCTCTAACCACTGAGAGTAATGAAAATGTACAACCACTCCCTTTAAAAAATCTTCAAAGATGGATCGGATGCCAATTATAGCTCTGTAGTTGGTTTTTGTTTTGGTGGGTTTTTTTGGTGTTTGTTGGTTTGGGTTTTTTGGGTTTTTTTGGTGGGTTTTTTTTTTTGTTTGGTTTGGTTTTTGTTTTCTTGATTGTGCCTCCTTTGATAATGAAACTGTGATCTTAAGCTCCATAGATCAGTGTGGTCTCTACTCTCCTTACTTTGTTTCTTTTTAATCCCTCTTCCAAGAAGATTTTAAATTGATGACTTTGGTCAATTTAAAGTCATAATGAGGACAAATGAGTTAGTAGTTTCCTATAGTGATGGCCTATCCAGTAATATCATTGTATAAATTTTGTATTCACATCTGCAAGTTCCCTTGTCTTCATGAGGATTTGAACTTGCAGAAGACGGAATATAAGCCCTTTCACTTTTATAGTGAAGAGACTACTTATTTTTCAACAGAATTCCTAACTTTACTTCTCAACTACTGTCATGTTTTCCACTAGACCTTTTGCACTACTTGATAGCTTTTATGTTCTACTGAATTTGTTGTTACCTACTATGTTAGCAGGCAAGTAGGAAGCTTCATTGCTTCTTTGTAAGTTAGGTGGGTAATATGGTTGATGCTTAAAAAAAAAAATAAATAGAAAAAGGCATTTTTCTTCATGTAGAACAGCACACTAAACCCAATTCTACCTTGATATTCTAATCTTTAGCCATCTTCAGTAGTTAAGTAAAATGTGAATCTGTAAAATATAGCTGTTTCCTCTGTAATGGTTTTTTAAATTCTGTATTGGAATTCATGTTACCATTTCTTAATCTAATCAATATGCTGCCATTAAAAAGTCAATTGCTTAAAAGTATGCTGTGTACCTGTTTTAATATGGCTTTGGGTTTTGGAGGAAAATGTGTAAAAGAATTTAATTGCCTTAAAGACAAAAATATGTGCATGTATTGAAATGTTACATATGATTGCTGTTTGTGCCTTCTTCAAGAGCTACTATACTAACTTTAATACCTTTATTTCAAGGAAAAAAACCCAACATTTATGAACAGAAAATAATACTTGGTTTCCAGCATAGAAATATTTGTTGTTAATGACTGACTGAAGTAATTAATGAAAAAAGATTTTTTTGTTGTTGTTGTTTCCTTCCTCCCCTTTTTGAGCCAGACTTCGTTGCTTTGTTTTGGGAACAGTATGGAATAAAATCTGTTATCTTTTTTCTTTTGTGTGTGTGTGTTTTCAGGCTCGGATAGCGTTTTTACAAGGGGAAAGAAAGGGTCAAGAAAATTTGAAGAAAGATTTAGTGAGAAGAATAAAAATGTTAGAATATGCATTAAAACAAGAAAGGTAGGTATACAAATTGTTCAGCTTTTATCTGACCTGGAAGACTTTACAGACTAAAAGGAATTCCATCATGTTATGGAAACTATCTTTACTAGATGATTCTCTGTTACTTTGTGTAAAATATCTTTATGGTTGGTTGTCTTTATGCTGCATTTTCTTATAAACTTTGGTGTCTGCTATAATTAAAAGTTGCCTGATTTTTAAATTGTTTGGACTCATGTCTTAATCACATGAAGTTCAGATTGGACAGTTTCCCTTTTCTGAGTTAGAGTAATGGTGTACTAAGTAAGAATAAATATTCCAAATGCTTATATCTTATTACTATCCCTTTACCTGCTCTTCTGTGGTATTAAGCTTGAAAGAATGAAAAATACTGTTCTCTTGATTCTCTACAACTATTGTGTTTGTGTTGCATGATGAAAACTGTTTTATGTCAGAATGGAATCCTTCAAAAATTAGCATTACATTTTGAAGTATTTTCATGTGGTAGATGCTAGAATTTCTGGTCTTATTAGGTGTGTTTTCTGTAGCATTAGTGCTTTAAAAATTTAAATTCCACTCAGTCCGTGCAGGCTAATATCCTTCAAACCTACATGCTCTGGTTATTCCATTTGACCAAAGTTAGTAGTTAATTCTGCAAAAACACTAGGAAAATAATCTTGCCATGTGCCTATGCCTTCAGTAGAGGATTCAATTCTTATATTTAATTTTGTCATGCTCTTTGAAAGTAGTTGAATCAAGAAGTGTAAGCATCTTGAGGATCTGGCAACGAAACAGGTAGCCTTTAATCATTTATTTTTGAGTGGAAGGAACGTTCTTGCCACACTAAACTTAAAATTTTGTAGCAAAATGTAGAGCGGCTTCACCTGGGCGTTTTTTAAGTTAGTTATCAAAGAGTAAGTATATCTAAATGTATTTTCCATTATGAATTATGAGTAAATGACTAGGTCAAAGATAACTTTGATAAGTTGGTTTCATATTAAAGCCTAATGTTTTTGGCAAGGATGGCTCCATGTGTCCGTGGAGTGTCCAGTACAAAGGTGCTCCAGAAAACAGCCTAAGTTCATACAGAAAGCCATATTGGCACATCCTGTGTTTTCTGGTGAAGTAATAGGCAGAAAGGATCTATTTCTTCTTTTAGCCCTGTCCTCGAAAAGGAAAGTAATGCAAGGTTTCCAACCAGTGCAAGACTAAAAATTGTGTTGTTACATCATGTGGGTAATGTGCAAGTCACTCTGGATTCAGAGCAGGTGAAAACTATGCAAAGAGTTGGGGTGTGTGTACTTTTTCTTTAAAGAATATTGAACATATCAAAGGAATAATATGCTGTTATGACAAACCCAAGTGTCTTGGGTATAATTAATTTTATAAAGTTAAAAGAAAACATTTTGGTTATTTTGGCAATAATAAACTCTCTGTATGCTGCTAATACAGAGATACCATAAGGATACACAACCATAAGGCTGTGAGGATTGCCTACTTACTGAGATAAATCAGAGGCAGTTAACTACAGCTGGAGTGTGAAGACATCATTTGCAGAATTTGGGCATTGGTGAAATTTCATTCTTGCTTTCTCCTGAAATGCAGCTGCCTTTATAGTTTGACTTCCTGTGAAATTCCAAAATCCATCTGATGGGCAAGAAACTTGTAAACATATGTACAACAGAAGCAGAACAGCAGAAACGTACAGTTCACTTTAGTTCTTGTGGCTAATGGGTACAAGCCAATGCTGCGTACTGTGCAAGAGGAAAATCCTTGCTTAAGTTCCAGCCAGAATTCTCATGAAGATTGCTGAAAACAGGAACAGAAAGTCTGGGGATGACTGGTGAATGTGTGGGAGGCAACAAGGAAGCTGTCTGTTATTTTTTTGCTACAAATGCCTAGTAGTTTGGGGGGATCTAATTGCAAAAGTATGATGGATTGAGCAAGGAGAGCAAGCAGGTAGTGGCTTGTCAGCAAACCATCGAGGAATGACAGTATGTTAGTTTCTTGGTTGCTGCACTGAATGAAAAGTTCAGGATAATAAAGGGGTTTTTTTGCCACTGTTCCTCTGAGTCAAGAATCATAACTAATGAAAAGAAATTCTGAAAACTTCAGATCTGAAAATTGTTGACAGCAAATATTGTGTTGCACCTGTTCCCCCTCTGCCCCCTTTCTCTTGTGTTTTTAACTTCATGATGCTGTCAGAGTCATGTAGTAAAATATCAGATTATAGGGAGTCGGAAGCAAACTCACTCAGACAATGATGACTGAGTTCTCAGAAAAAGGGTATGAAACAGGAGGACATCAGTGTGTAAGGTTAAATAAAATGCAGTAGTAGTTACAAAATAGTTTGATATTTCTAGTATTCATCTGTAAGTGTGTATGCACTGTGTGATAATGTTTAGAGAAGTAAAATGTTACTATTTTAATGTCCTTAAATATTTTGGTAGTTCTGTATCAATTTCTGTAATAAAATTGGGCCTAAATGTAGTTTTATGTTTGGGGATTTTTTTGTTTGTAGCTAGTGTATATTCCTTTATGGTGCTTTGAGATCCAGCCAGACTTCTTCTGTTATGTACTCTGAGCCACTCTACTCCAGGCTTCATTAGCATAGTGCTGTGCTTGAATTAATAAGACTTGCTGAGATCATAAAACTGTGGCTATATTTTGACTTTCTGAGGTTTGGACTGGAGCTGGCTTATATCCTTGCAAATGAGTGGTAGGATTCAAGAGCTAAATAGCAACAAGCAGTTAAATCAGTGCAGGGCATTATTTCTCCTCCTTTTACTTTTTCACTGATAGAAATCTCACCTTAGAAGAATATCAAGTCAGTACTTAAAAGATGCCTCTTCTGTAGAGCTCAGTTACTATGTGTTGTGGGGGCGTAATGTCACTGGCTTGTCAACAGCTATGTAGCTTGCCTAGTAATTTTAAAGATATATAAGAATTACCTTTGTTTGTGTGGACAGTACAGAAAGGAGTACATATGCAAAGATACAGTTTATTGGAATTTAATAAGATTAATTTCTTATTGTAAAATTGAAGTTGATGTGATAGTGGATCTCATTACATGCAGCAATATCTTGGCTTATTTGTAGTGGCTAGTCATTGGTAGAATTTTAGATCAGATACATCATCATCTACTCTAATGAACAGTTAAAGCAGAATTTTAATTATTGTTTTGAAATTGTAGCTCTAGAGTGAAACAACTGTTCCTAAATAGTATTTGCCACAGCTTGAATTGAACAAATACATGTTGGCTTTTCAGTTACAGTTCTCTATTGGCTTCACTTACGAAGTAAGCAAACACATTTTGGCAGTTCTGTTTAATGTCACAATTTCATAATTATTTTCTTTTTGTTTGTTTATTTTTTAACCCCAAATGTACGGTGCTTTATAAATCATAGCACGTGCACTTTTTCGGGAGAGCTTGTGTGGAACACTGCCCTGTTACAATGTGGAACAACGCTTTGTCTCTCATTTAAAGCGATCACCAGTCTTATTAGTGCACAACCCTGGAGGCGTTTAAGGCCAGGCTGGACAGAGCCTTGGGCGACATAGTTTTTAGTGTGTGGTGTCCCTGCTCATGGCAGGGGGGTTGGAACTAGATGATCTTAAGGTCCCTTCCAACCCAAACTATTTTATGATTCTATGAATGAAACATGAACATATTAACAAATAATTTATGATTCTATTTAACTGGCAGTCAGTCAGATTCAGGTCACACAAATACCTAGTCTTCAGGAGCCTTACAGTTTTTCTGTTAGAATGCAATTGCTATGAAATGCAGAATTTTATCTTACTATAAAGGGTCAATAGTGCCATCTACTGACCGTTTGTTAATGAGACTGTTCCTGATGCACGTTTAGCAGAGACTTCTGTAATTTAGAAGAAAATCGTCTATACCATCAAGTACATCAGGCAGCATTTGAGATGCCTGATGTATTTGGAAAAAACTTGCAGTGGTGGCTCAGCTGTTTGAGGAGATCTGTTGGAAATCCTTGATTTTGTCTACTCAGCACATGCTCCATTATGTATCTTTTCTCCGGAAGTTTCATATTCAAGAGTAGTCTTTAAGATTGGTGGACACTAGATACAGTTGGATTATACTTAAAAATTTGGTCAAATATTAATACAGAATTATGAAGACAGTTGTATTTTATAGACACTTCTTTAAAATGTGGCTGCTAACATTTTTACAGAGATCTTTCACTTTGGCTCTACTGCAGAAGATCTAGAGTTCTGTTCCCTGAGATTTTGAGTACTGTTGCAAAGGATCTACAAGGCAAAAGTCAAACGATGGAAAGATCTAGGACAGAGAATTCCAGGATATAGGTGCAGGTAGTTCATGTGGTATTCCTGAAGGTAGAGGGAGCTGAAGACATATTGATAAGGCAGTGTGGGTAGAGAGTAGGATTTGGAAGGCTCATGCAATACCTGCATGGAAATAGTATCATCAAGACTGATTTTAAAAAAGTGATGGAGAAGGAGAGGGTAGGAGAACAGCAATCAGGAGATGGGAAGGAGTGGGGCACGTTTGCATGAGTGGACTGAGAAGGAATTGGAAGCTAAGTCTCCAGTCAATGAGTAAGAGAAAGATCAGGAAAAGAATACATGTGATGAGGGAAATCACACTCCAGGGTGGTTCTTCAGAGGGAAAGATCTCCATTGTAAGCAAAGACAGGACAGGAGAAAAATTGAAGAGGAATTTGAAGGTGGCAAATAGGCAGAAATCCCAAATATGAGGTTCATTTGTTGTGGTATGATTGGCTAGCTGTGACAGTGCTACAGCAGCAAAAATAATCTCTGCTGAACACTTGAACCTAGTCTTTTTTGAAAGGTTCTTGTAGTAGCTGACACGCATGGAAAAACACCCAAGTTCTTGGAGAACGTACTAAACTGATCTACAGGTTGCTTCAAAACTGTGTTCTTGAAAAACTAGAAATAATTGTATGATGCAGTAAGGATCACAACAGTTTTATTTGGATAAAGTATGTTATTAGTATGGTTTTAAATGGGAATAGTAGAATGTTATGATCTGATAAGAGCATTATATGTTAATCTGTTAAACATTTGTGTGTTTTTCAGGGCAAAATATCATAAATTAAAATATGGCACAGAATTGAACCAAGGTGACTTGAAAATGCCAACTTTTGATTCAGGTAACTTTTTTTTACAGTAGTCTGTTTTGGTATAATTTTTTTAAACACCGTTCTAGATTTGCTGTGCTCTATTTATTGCAGCTTTCAGTTGTCTTCTCACACCCCATGCCCAGGTGTTAGAGAAGATCTTTAGGAAAGGTTTGGTATTGGTTAAATATTGTTTGATCTGATAATCAAAATTAATTGACCTTCCCTTTTTTGAAAGAGCTCTGAACGTCAAAGACAGCTTTAAATGAGGTTATACAATTCCTATTTAGCTGCTGCTCCTCGTTATCATTTCTGATACTATCTTTCTTTAAAGATTTACTACTTTCCGCCATCCATTCAGAATGAAGGCGTAAGTGCAGAATACACATAAGAAATAGTGTTGGTATTTGGTGGTTTTATAGGATACTAATGTTCAAAGAATGAGGAGAAAAAAATTGTACTGCATAAGCTTGGGGAAAAAAAATGTTGGTGAGCTTCTGGTTTTATCTTAAATCAAGGAAAAAAATCCTGAGAGGAAAGAAAGACTATCCTTATTGGTACTCTGGAGTGCATCGGATTTTGCAATGTAGATATAAAGTTGTTCATTTTTGCTCTTCACAGTACTACAGATAGAGGAAAAGATTTTTCATAACAACATTGGACTATTTAATAAGCAGAATTGCATGTAGCTTCTCTTGAATTGTAGGTCTTTATTCCCCTACCCCATTTTTTTGTTCTCTTTTAGAAGTACCACACATTTTCAGTACTTTCATACCCAATTTAAACTAGAGATCATGATTCATATTTCTTGCCTGATGGGATTTTTCGTATGTGTTTAAAAGCATTATAAGTTAGAAGTTAAAATCCTTAAACTATTAGTTTGTGCTATGTTTTATAGTCTCTACCATAGTAAAAATGCAGTGGTTCTAGATGTTAACTGTTGATAGTAAACTGATGGAATTTGTTAAACTTGACATGTTTTTCTACTGCTTCACTTATTTGAACTGTATTTTCCATGTTGCTTTCTAAGCATCTCTGCTTTGTGAAAGAGATATAGCCTGTTTTCTTAGCAGTAACACTTCAGTGCACATTCTTTTATGCACAAGTTAAATATTTTTCTGGTTACTTTTCTGTGTATAAGGGGTCAGGATTTTTCAGTGATTGTTTTCAATTATTTGCCTGACGCTTCAGCAAAGAATTAGGGGGAAAATTAATTGAAAAACACTGCTCCTAGTTTAAAGCTTTTAGTTTCATTGTTATTTTGCAAAAAGTAAATTGAGTTCAAAGAAAGCCAGCCAACTATGACACTGTATCTTTCAGAAGAAACCAAAGATATGGAGGTTCCCGCAGTACCTCAGAATAGCCAATTGACCTGGAAGCAAGGCAGACAGTTACTGAGACAGTAAGTAACTTGTTGAATATTGGTGTATTCAAACTTTTCTACGAAGTATGAGCAGCTGTATATGTATATACTTTATGAAACACAGTAATTGAGTTGGATAAATAGTGGTTCATTTTTCTAAACTTCATAGCCTTGAGCTGTAAGCAGCATAGAGTAAGGTTTTCCACATGAGATGGATGACAATGAAGCTTATTTTTCTATAAGTGATATAACAGTGGTATTAATTTTTAACAGTCAATACTAAATTCTTTCTTTTTCCCTCAAATATGCTTTCTCTTTCTTCTCTTAATGCTTCTAGGTATCTTCAGGAAGTAGGTTATACAGATACAATATTGGATGTACGCTCCCAGCGGGTAAGGTCATTGCTTGGGCTCTCCAATTCAGAACCAAATGGTTCAGTAGAGACAAAGAACTTGGAACAGATCCTCAATGGGGGTGAATCTCCATCAAAACAAAAGGGACAGGAAATCAAAAGGTAAGTGAAGGGCTAAGAAATGCCTAAAGTTTGTTCTACTTAGTCATTGATACGTGCCAGTTATTTCATGTTGAACTTTCAACTGTAGAGTCTCTGAACAGCTGTGAGTGTAGCTGACTACAAATGATTGAACTTAACTGAGATTGATTATACGTAGGAACATAGGTGTCTATATTACATACATATATGTGTGTTATATTTTTATATCTATCTATCTATATATATATGAAAATATGTAGCGTATTGAAGTTGAATTTGTCATATGACCCTTTGGAGTTGTAGAAACTTTTTCATACCTGTTTTGCTTGTTTTAAAGCTTTTAAGCTGTTAGGTAGCAATTGCATTTAATCTGATTAATCGCCTAACATCTCTTCAGCAAGTAAAATGGATTCTCTCTTAATGTTTCTGTTTATGTAGGAATTCTGGTGATGTTCTTGAAACATTTAACTTCTTAGAAAATGCAGATGATAGTGATGAAGAAGAAGAGAGTGACATGATAGAAGATATTGCAGATGGAAAAGAAAAGCACCGGATGAATAAGAAACACAAAGTAAAAGATTTTTAATTTTTTTTTTTTTTGTATATATAGAGCTGAAATCCCCTTTTTAGGAAGGGATTTTTTTTTTCCAGATGACTATAAATGTTAAAATGTTGTTGTACCTTTGTTATCTGAATGGATTGTAAGCAGATGCGTTATTGGTAAATTTGGTGATTTAGTTAATATATTATTTTTTTGCAAATGTGAGTTAATTGATGAAAGAAATAACTGATTTGGCCATCCCAGCTTCTCTGCATACTTTTGAAAGCCTTTATGAGGCAAATTTAGCACAATACAGTGTGCATCCTTTCTAAGTTTTGGAGAATGTAGGGACAATTTCATAGAAGGAACTAAATTATGTAATGAAAAAAAATCATTTCCATGTCAAATATGTGTTTAATTCTTCCTTTTATGCAGCTTTTTATTAAATATATTAAGAGCCTGGCAGAGACTTATCTCCAGTTCCGGTTTATTTTCCTTTTTAGTTTTCCATTCTGTTAGCAGCTTTCTGGGTAGGATAGACTGTCTTACCTGTACTTTCTTAGTTATATTTCTCCTATACTGGAAGAATATCTCTGTCATCGGGGTTTCTTCATGTAAAGAGGTTTATTTATGAACATTGTATTCACAGTTTTATTACTTTTTGCTCAGTAGAGTATTCTGTAGCATGATGACCCCTCTGGCTGCATTCAGTTTTCCTAAATAGCAGCATTAGCTTGTCTTGACACAAGTTCTTAATCTCCTAACTTGACTTGTCAGGAAGTGTTTTCCACCATACCTTTGGCATTAGCTTGTACTTTTGGTAAACAGATTAAACAACCGATCAGTGGAATATTTTTCATACCAAGGTGGTAGATCATGTATGTGATAAAAAGATTATCTAATAAGTAAATCTCCAAGCAGATATGAAGACATTACATTCTTTTTTTTCTAAATTCTTGACAAAGCTTGTTTTTTTGTTTCTATAGAAAGTAGAAGCATCATTTATAGATAACTTTGTTAAAATTGTATTTTTCTGCAAAAGGATACGAATATTGTCCAACTTACAGAAACATAACCCCATGTGGAAATTTTTTCACCTGCAGAATGAAAGAAAACTTTTCATTGATGCCTTGATAGGGGGTTTAAGGCGAAGGTGTGGTAGAACCAGTAAAAAGACACTTTTTGGAAGAAAATGTATTTTGCAACCTTATGTTTCACACTGAGAAAACAAAAAGGAAAAAAGGCTTCAAGACCAGTAAAAAACACAGTCTGTATGTAAAGGTTCTCTACAAAGCTATTGATGTTGCAAGAGAAAGAAGCAACTTCTATTTGATAGCTTTTAAATAAAAAGGGAAGATTTGGATGCTAGTGTCAGTGTTCTTTTTATTTCCTAATGATAACTAGACTGCACTGCGCTTTTTTGTTGGGTTTTTTTTGGGTGTGGTTTGTTTGGTTTTTTTCTTTTGTTTTAATAAGCAGCTCTAGATCTGACTATAAGTATCTTTTTCTGCATTTCATGTTGAAAAATGTTTTCCCCTGCAACTAAGTACTCAGGGAGCGTAGCAATCGGTATCGCTTCTAAATATTTGAGTAGAAAATCTATTCATGATTCAAATGCAGAAAAATATTTATCTGCTTGCAGATTGGTAATGAAGGTTTAGCTGCTGACCTTACAGATGACCCCGATACTGAAGAAGCTTTGAAAGAATTTGATTTTTTAGTGACAGCTGAAGATGGTGAGGGAGCTGGAGAAGCTCGAAGTTCAGGAGATGGAACAGAGTGGGGTAAGATGCTAACAGAAGCATTTAGAAATAAAGGAATACTTGTTCATGATAGTACACAAGAGTTGCTATACCTGCTAAGATGGTGTGGATGTGTGGATGATTGTGGTGATCAAATGTTGCTGCTTAGTAATGTACCAGATGCTGAAATTTTTGTATCTATACAATAATGTATATGTGCTGTTGTAGTTTCCACAAGTACAATTCTAGTTACATTTGTTTCAGGTTTTGGTCTTGATTCCCAAATTAAAATAGGAGAATATTTTGTTTCCTCAATCAGAAAAGCTAGGATTTGGAATATTTTTATACCTGAATTAAATGTGCTTTCATATCTATGTTCTTTTTTACGTATTTTTTTGTGATCAAGAACTTTAAACTCTCGGTGCTCAAGTTAAATAGATTTCTTTGGTGTACTTGTAAAAATGGCCAATTAGTATATCTAATTTTTCTGGCTGAGATTTTTTAGATGCTATTGCTAATGTGGCTTACATTAGTAGAATCAAAAAATACTATTTTACTGGCATAACTTTATTTTAGTGTAGATAATAAAAGTAAGTAGGTTAATAATTTGATGTGAAACAAACTATGCTAAGTCAGAAGCTTCTGGAGCCCTTGTGTTTCAAGAGAAGAATTGAAAGAGGGAGAGAATTTGCGTAGGAAAAAGAATAGTGAACCAAGTAATTCATGTCTGGCTTGAAATGGGAAACTGACCGACTGAACGGTGGTACAAGCAATTTTGTGGTTGCATACTCTAAGTCTTTTGTTGTAAGGACAAAAAATGTCACTAGATCATCTTGACCGTTTTGTCATTGAGACAATGAATTTGTTAGGCTTGGATAAACGCTTTGGTGAGCAAAGAGAATATAAAGACCTACAGGAATAAGAATACTGGCACATCTTCCAGGAGAATCATCCAGTCTTGATTTTGAGGATATCAGGGATTAGAAAGCATTCCTTCCTGGAAATTAGTATCAAAGGGCTAGTCACCTTTATTTTTAAAACTCAGTCTTATTTCTAGTTGGAAGATGAAGCTGGAATAACTATTACCTTTAGCTTTAGTAATACTATTTAGAAGCATTTTAGTTTCTTGCTGCTGTTCTCCTTTTGAAGGTAATGTTACTTGATTAGTTTCCTGATCATCTTTTTATTTAGCCAAACAGGCAAATCTCTTTGTATAAGAGGCCCTGAAGCCAAGGTTTTGACTTTTGTTTGCAGCATCCCTTCAAATGTGTAGTAATGCAGAAAGTTCTTGGTCTAGCATCAGTCTTACCACTGTTCTATATAGAAGGAATGACAGCTTGATGCTATAATTCATGCAGTCAAAGATTTACAGATTTTTTCAGAGCAGGCTGCTGAAACTTACTGAACTAGCTTGTTGCTGATATACCACGTGATTCCTTTCCAATATTACTTTCTATCTGTGTCATCTTCGCAGGTAGTTACCCTGAATGGGAAGATTCTATTTTATTTGCAATGCTGACTGCAAGTTACATTTTTTCAGACTTGTTTTTGAGCAGTTTGGTTGCTGTCCCAAACTTAAAATCTAAAAATGTTTTTTAAAAATCAAATTGCCCACCACACTTTTCAGAGAGCAGTTTGAATGTCTTTTATTACAGTTTAAGTGAACCCATAGCAGAAGTGAGTCAGAGCATTTTAGGAGCTTGTACACACTTCGTGATAGCTTTGTTTGTGACAGCTGGTTTAACTGCAGTAATTCCATTGTTAACCAAAACACTTGTGTCTGAGGCAAGGAAGTGGGGAGAAGGAAATGAACATAAACCTGCATTCATCTTTAAAAGTATGTGTTCAAACTTTTGCCATTTGAAGACAATATTCATGAATTTGTTGTATAATTTGTACTAACTTACTATTTAAATAGTGAGTTAGAAGACATACTCCAAACTGTAGTAGCAATGCTTCTTTCATAGTATGTCACTGACTGCAGTGCAGCTGCTTTTTCCTTAAATGGATGTTTGAGGATATAATCTATCCAGTCTTAGGGTTAAGTGTCACTTATTTAAAGATCAGTGTGTAAATTTGAAATATTTAAAGACGACGCTTCTTTATTACCTATCAAAAATAACATTACAAGTATTGTCCCACTGAAACACCTTCTAACATAAAATAATACTTTGCCTAAACCAATGTATTTTAGTTTGTCACATTTTGAACTCTTTGAAACTTGAGATCTCCATCCATTTATTCATTTTTGAGGGGGAACTTTAGTATTTCAGTCAAAATTCATACTTTTCTTCATAATGTAAATAGATGTTCTGTTTTCTTAGCATTTTTTTAGTTTCCTGTTTTTTTTTCCTGTCATTGGCATCCTTCTATCACTTTTTACTCTTACAAAGTTTTAAGCTCTCTGAAAAACGTGAAGGTTTACATGTGTATTTCTTTATAATGCCTTTATTTAGTATCTGGAAACCAAACTTCTGGTGTTTAGCTGCTAGACTTATTGTCTAGTCTGGCTTTATTATTGCTGTCAGTACTCGCTTGTCAAAGTATTATCTGTAGGTCTAACTTCAGACGCACTAAAATGTTTCATTGCCAAATTTGATAGTTACATTTTCCTAGTGGACACTTTTGCAAACCAGCCACTGAGTGCAGAAGTTTGGGTTGCTTGGTTTTGCCTTCCTGTAATACCACTTTTTACAAACACATTTGTAGATTACTTATTTAATATACTTTGAGTCTTAAATTATTTTCTAACATTGTCATTTAAAGTGTCCTATCATGTGACATGTTTTACTTAAGAACAGCTTGTCTTTGAAGTAGTGAAAAATGAGCAAATTCAAACAGTGTTAAATAAAGGATTAAAGTACACAGCACATTAAAACATGAATGTACATTTTTAGATTAAAGAATTTATTAATGCCTTGCGATACAGTATCATCAAGAAAAAGACGTATGTAGAACTTGTTCTTGCTTAAACAGGAATAAAGACATACTGGTACACATTACAGATGCTATGTATTATATAATCTTTTTATTCTGCTTAAGATTTTGACTATGCGTTCATCACTGAATTTCTCCTCTTCATGAAGACAAAATGTTCAGTTTACAGATGGACTAAGACTCAAAGAATGAATGTGCCCAGGACTCTGGGGGCATCTTAAAAAACAAAATAAATCCTTTTTCCACTAAGTACTATTGGCTAGTGGACATCCCAGATCCTCTGCATTGTCCTGATGTCAATTTAGTGTGGGCTGTAAACACTATAGGCAATTTGAGGAAGTTCGTAACTAGGGGGTAGGTACAGAGGTGGTCTTAGGGCTCTGTTCTGAAATAGCTAAGTATATCTAGACGTATCTGAAACACACTGCTGACTTTAGATTTCCTAGAAATCTTCGTTGAAGTTGATTTCACAGCCCCTCTGGTTAATCAATGTTTGTGTTTTATCTAGTTTTCTATTTACAACGTAAGTTTCAGCAGCTGATATTATTGTTTTTCAGTATTTATGTTTGCAAGCTTACATCTTTCCTGTTTTCTGTTGACTGAATGAGCCCAGTTCCTTCAAATTCTTTGTCTTGATACTTAATGCCCTGTTTGTTTTGCAGTCTGCAGACATTTTCTAAACTTCTGGTGTGGAACACAGACTGGACATGTTCCTTCAATTTTGTCATCACCAAAATTGTCCACTGAATTATTTGGACTACTCCTGTTTCAATAGACTAATATGCCACATCTTTAAAAATATACCAGACAGTTTTGTTGTGGCTTTAGGGTTGTTTTGAGGTGGGCTTCGTTTGTTTAACAGCAGTATTACGTTGCTGTTATGTATGGTCAGCTTCTGGTTTAGTTTAATTCCCCAATTCTTTTCTGCAGTGCTGTAACCTAGCGGATTATTTTCGTTTTATTAATGTTACTTTGGATAGGTTTTTTTATTATTATTTTAATTTGTTCTTAACTGAATTTCCTTTCCTTGGGTTTTAGGCTGTGGGGATTTGGGGTTTTTTTTTGGGGGTGGTTTTCTTTTTGTTTGTTTTTTTTTTTTTAATAATTTCCTTTCTCTTTTGGTTGGGCTCTGACTTACCTTTCTGTGCCTTTTGTGTATTCTGACTAATCACTATTCTCTGTCAGTGTTTTAGCCCTGCAGTCATAAAGATTTGAGGTCTTTGTGTTTGTGATTTGGTAGTTGTAGCTGCAGTTTGGTGTAGGATGTCATTGTACCATTCCCCTCTCAACAGTTTTTTGTGGACAGCTCATGGGACTTTGCCACCATTAAGCTGCCCGTTTCATGCCTTTGCCACCCTTGCTGTTCTTATGTTCCATCTCTTTGATCAAGATTCTTTCTCCTTGTCATTGATCAGCCCTATTTGAATGATGGTAGATGCATCAGTATCCTAGAATATCTTTTGCTTGTCATGTTTTGTCATGAAACATGTACTTGGAATAACTCCTAGTGGTTTGCACCCTAAATGCATGCTTCTTTGTTTCTGATGTGTATGCCTCCTCTTATGCACTTTTATGACTGTAATGTTTATAACTTCAAAAGTGGCTCTTTTATGGAAACACTGATATTGTAGGTATGATTGGAAGTTGGGAACTGATGAACTGAGGTTTTTGGGGGTTTTTTTGTTGTGTGGTTTTTTTTTTACGCCTAAAGAATTTATGAGCATAAGCTTAACTGGCACACGAACCCAGTTTGGTTGCTGCTTGGTTGGCTACAGCAAAAGAGCTTCTGCAGATGTTACATTTACCTTAGAAACAAGTTTATTCTTTTATTAATTCTGTTTCCAGAAATAAACGTTTGAGATGGATAGTTTAGAAAAGTGGAGATTCAGCTTTTCTTGGAGAATATTTAACTCTGCAATATTCGTCAAACGGAAAAAGACATGTCTTCTGAAACTGCTGTGGAATGTTGTATTTCTGCTAATTATAATGTAATTGCTGGAATGCAGTGGGATGTCAGTTTATTCACCTATGCAAATTACTTCATCTTTATGTGTAAAGCTGTATTTATAGATTAGTTTCTCTGGTTATATGCAGGACCAAAGTTTCTTTCTTGTGCATGTAGAATGAGTGTGAAAGGATGCATGGTGGTCTTCATGAATAAACTGGCACTGACTTACTCAGCTTGCATTTTCATGAGATATAGCATGGACACTTTTATTTGCTTATTCAACACTGGCTGAATAATTTCTTAACACTGTCTTTCTAAAGATGCAGTAATTGTTTCTGAACACCAATGGATTTCTGTGTATTTCGAAGTATCTAGCATAAACAGTTACTTATGAAGCTTAATTTGTTTGCTGCTTAGTAACAAATTAACATACTATTTTCAAATATGTAACTGATATTATACAGTGCTTTGGAATACTGTATGAAATGAGACAGTATTTTGTAAACTTAAAACTGAGACTGCACCTTTAAAGATTTATTAAGAACTTTTATTAATGCTCTTATACAGCTATGATAGTAAATCACCAACAGCTTGCATTGCCAATTGCTGATTTTTTTTCTTTTAATAATATGCTGCATGTAGACAAAGATGACCTGTCCCCAACTGCTGAGGTTTGGGATGTAGACCAGGGACTAATAAGTAAACTGAAGGAACAGTACAAGAAGGAACGAAAGGGGAAGAAAGGGGTAAAGAGTAAGTGCAGATTCTGAATCTTGTAATGCAACGCTTTTTTGCCTATTTATATAGAAGACTTTTTTTTTTTTTTCTCCCCACAAGTTGTTTTTTGTTTTGTTTTTGTTTTCTTCATTAAGCATCATTTTCTGTAACGGGGGCAACAACTTTAACTTTCTACCTGCTGAATGTGAATGTCAAAACTTTGGACAGCCATTTCCTAGATGAGAAATGTTGAAAACGCATGAAAATTTTAAGGTTAAATAGGTAGAGAGACCTAAATGCTTTGAAATGTGAGAGTAAAAATGATGAACAACTTGCATTTTGAAGATGTTCCTACTCTATCTGCTTCTTTTAAGTATGATACTGTGGTACTGTTGAGGGGATTGTTGGTTATTTTTTACTATGAGCTTGGGTCAAACTATAACTGCTGGTTTTGGGCTTGTCATTATTTTTACAGTCTAAGGCATTGAGAATTAGGAAAAGTGCCTGTAGTGTAAATATGAACTTTTTTGTCTGTCCTTAAGATATAATCTTTATTTTATGGCGCCCTTCACTCTGTGCAGTTGCCACATTTTGGTTGAAACCTCTACACTCTTAAAGAGTTTTTAGAGCAGTTAACCTGTTTGAACTATGTGAGTTAATCCAAACTTCACTACTGAAGTATGTGGTAAAAATGCTTTTGTAATTACGTTATTAACTATACCAAGCTTTTAGTGGACAAAGAGTTAGTAAATCAGTGTCATTCTAGAGAAGCTTCCTTAATTGCGGTGGGTTTATTTTGGAAGTATATTATGGCAGTTTCTGGTGATATTTAGTAAAAATATTTTATTCTTGATGTGAAGAATTTTGTGAATATGTACTAGCTATATTAAATGGTAATTAATATATAACACTTCATGAAGAATTCTGCAATTAAGATTTGAACTTACTTTGTAACATCTAACATTAAAATTCAGCGCATGTTGATTGTTCTTTCAGCAATTTTGCATGACTTGCACGTACACACACACATACACACGCGTGCACACACAAATAGGAGGACTTTGAAGTAAGGATTTTCATCTAGTTTTTGGGTATCCTCATTTAACATGTAAATCAGCACCAAATTCACATGAAGTGTTTTTTAGGGTTAGAAACTTCCTTTTAATACTAAAATAGACTTATTTTAGTTGACATTTTCTTATTAAACTTCACATTTTAGACCTTTGGAAGCAGAATTGCTGCAAAATAACAGCACATATTTTGAATCTTGGGAGGGAAAAAAAGTAATTATTTAGGCGATTTTTGCAGTTCTCTCTCAAAAATTGTCTTTGGGTTATTGCATATAGGAAGTTCTTGAGAGTGAATTTTTGATTGTCTCTTCTTACCCACCCCACCACACAGTTCCTACTTCCTGGCTTGTGCAAGGTAAAAGAATCTGTAAAACAGGGACAAGTAGTGTTGTTCTAGGATTATAAATTGTATGAAATACTATTATTCTTAGGCCTCCAAACCTCTTGTAGTGGTATTGGCTTGCATAGAAAGGCTTTCTCTTTCCTGCACTTGTTAACTTGGCTGCTATGCAGTCAAGAATTTCTATCACCTTTTTGTTTTTCTATATTTTAGCTTTTCCATCTGTAAATCTTAAAATTCCAGAGGAGGAGCATAATTCTCACCAATCAGAAATAAGTACTTTGTCAAAAATGGGCATTTTAGTGGTCTACCTTGCCAATTGAATTGGTCGTGACAAATCGTTTTTAAATCATAGAATCATAGAATAGTTAG